TCCCCATCCAATGCATGTTTAAAAAGTGAAATGTACCATTAACAGGAAGCTTTGGTTTCAGATACAGACTTCTTTGATACTGTAGTTCTCAGGCATAGGGGGAATTTTTAAAAAATTACAGAAGTAAAGTTCATAATTCAGATTGTCCATACTTATCGTACATACAATTTAAGATCAAAAACAAAATACAATCCAGAAACCCAAGCCAGGTTGGTATAGCGGTTAAGAGCGGCGGACTCTAATCTGGGGAACTGGGTTTGATTCTTCACTCCTCCACATGAAGCCAGCTAGGTGACCTTGGGCCAGTCACAGTTCTCTCAGAGCTCTCTCAGCTCCAACTACCTCACAGGGTATTTGTTATGGGGAGAGGAAGGGAAGGCAATTGTAAGCCGCTCTGAGACTCCTTTGGGTAGTGAAAAGCGGGGTGTAAAAACCAACTCTGAGACTCCTTTGGGTAGTGAAAAGCGGGGTATAAAAACCAATTCATCTTCTCTAATTAATGGTTATACCTGTGAATCATATAATATCATTATGCCTCAGTCTCAACAAGACCTTAGCTGCAGATACTTAAATCCATGGACTGGGACCATGTAAAGAAAAAGGAGATATTTCTTTAAATTTTGGGGACCTCCTATGATTGCAGAAAAATAGGAAAATTAAAGGATGGAGGAGTTTAATCCCTCCAGAGGGGGGAGAATTTACTTTGCTCAGATAATGTGTAGCATCTACCCTCTTTGCTCTGTGTGGGAGCTGGAGGGGGAGGGAAGGAGCCACTGCCATTCTGTCCCCTCACTGCTCCCTGAAGAGTGGTAGGAAGAAGAACAGATGTGTGGTGGTAGTGGCAATGGGGAGGGGTGGCAGTACCAGGGAGGCAAGCAAGAGAAGCTTCTCCAAAATGGAAAAACTTGCAGACAATGTAAACAAAAATTAAAGATGGTGACACTTGGCCATTATTTGGAAGACTATATAGCAATCCCAGTAAACATTCTTAGGGTTAGTGGCAGCAGTGAAGGCATCTATGCGTGGAGGTTATCATCACTGAACGTGCAATGTTTTCCTGCAATGATCAACAAAAATGCAACTGATTATTTGCAAAGTGCACGTGGCATGTCAGGAAATAAGCCATAGCTGCTGCTCTTCCTCTTTCAAAGGGTGCCACTTCAGTTTCATGGGTACAGCCACACCCCCCAAAAGCAATTTGTTTGACTTTGAGTGTGTTGTTCATAACCTTCTGTGATAGTATGCCAGTGGGAATAAGTGACATTTCAAAAGATATTCAGGTGGGTAGCCGTGTTGATCTGAAACAATTGAATGAACTTTGAGTCAAGTGGCACCTTTAAGACCAATAGAGTTTAATTCTGGGCATACTTTCTGATAAAGTGTGCATGAACATGAAAGCTTATACCCAGAATTAAACTTTGTTGGCCTTGAAGATGCTACTGGACTCAAACTTCATTCTGTTTTAAAAAGATACATGTGACCAGGGCTATTTTTGGGCAGGGCTTATACCCAGAATTAAACTTTGTTGGCCTTGAAGGTGCTACTGGACTCAAACTTCATTCTGTTTCGAAAAGATACATGTGACTAATACGAACAGCTCCAAAATATGTAGCTGGGGGAATAGACTGAAGTTATGAGAAAATGCATGATACTGTGGCAGAGCCACAAGCCCCAAAGTTCTTAAGGTGTTCTTAAGGTTCTGCTCACCTCGCGTCTCTACCATTTTGGGTTACCGCTGACTGGGGGACATGGTATAGCCACTGAGCCCATCCGTATCTGTTCCTTGTAGGGAATTGCATTGAAATAATGGGTTGGTTCCCAAAAAAGATTTCCCCAGATGGAATGAATTTCAAACGCGAGGGCAAAGTGGTGATGGGGGCTTCTATTTTTACCTTCCATGTGTTGAGGGTTTTTAAAGCCATTCCAGGGTTGTTAGTGGTATAACATTGGTCTGGCACCTGGCACATGACCAGGGATGAAGAGGTTTAGGATGCTTGTTAAGCCCAATTCAGTCCTAAAGCTGCACAATCCTGTGGTAGCTTGAAAGTTACACCAGCACAGTGTGGCACTGGCATATCTCTACATATGCCCCCATGATGGCCTGAGGCTTAATTCCCATGGCAGTTGAGAAAATGCTTACGTAATACTTTCAAATATGACTGTTCCTACCATGGTAAATTATCTTGAGTGTACTAAAGGATGACGCCTATGTCTCTCTTCCGTCTCATTCACACTGCCCCAGGTGGGACAGGAAGTATGGGTAAGACAGCCATTGTGTTATTGCATGTTGATTTGTAGGAGAGCTATGAAGATCATGAAGATACTGCTTAGAAAATGCAAGTGACCAGGTATATGAAAAATTTCCAGAGGTTTACCTGTCACTTTCTTTTTCCTCCTCCCACTTAGGTTGGCATAGGACCAGGTGTTGGTTTCAATGTTAATATGGCGTTCACTGGTGGTCTTGATCCACTAATGGGAGACACAGAATACTTGACTGCTTTCAGGTAATCCCCAAATCTCACTGCTTTTTTTCTGGAGACTTCTCTCTAAATTAAATATGTCATCTTTGAAATTATCATGTATATTCTCTCCTTGAGTTTTCAAGTCAAAAGCAAATAAATAAAATTTTCCCAGCTGATGCTAGCAACTGTTGAAAGTAGAGTTGCCCGGCCTCGAGATGGCACTTGGAGATCTCTCACTGTTACAACTGATGTCCAGACGACCAAGATCAGTTCCGCTGGAGAAAGTGGCTGCTTTGTAGCGTGGACGCCATGACATTATACCCTGCTGAGGTCTCTCCCCTCCCCAGACCTTCCCCTCTCCAGGCTCAGTCCCCAAAATCGCAATGTATTTCCCCACCCAAACCTGGCAACCTTAGTTGAAAGACATACACTTATGCAGTGCTTCCTGCTCAGAAGCGTGTATCGTTATATTGATTAACATTGCCTCTGAAACAAGAAATATGTTAAGCAAAACAGAATTATCATTGTGAATAATTCTGTACCACTGTGCGAATAGCTGTATTCCTTTTTTTTAATTATTTAAATTTTTTCTTTAAGAAGATAATAAGCAATGTGAAATAAAATAAAAGTTGAGAAATTAGAGGGGGGGGAGAGAAAACAGAAATATAAAGCAAAGGCTTCCAGTTTTCTCTGTGACAAATACAAGTATGATTACAAAATCTTCTCTTACTCTATGGTTGCAAAGAAAAGCTCTTGTTTTTGCGTACTGAGTGGTGGGTGGGTGGGGTTCTTCGTCATTGAAACCACAAATCATCAGTTTGTTCCTATCTGTTTCATGCAAAAAAGTCTATAAGGGGTTTCCAGTTATCAATAAATGTAGATATTGTGTTTTGTCTAATCAAAGAAGTAAGTTTAGCCATTTCTACAAGGTCCAACATCTTCAACCATTCCTCTATTGTAGGTATTGCCTAACGCTTCCACTTTTGTTCATATAATAATCTCGCTGCTATCATATATATTGTGTATTGGTACTTTCTGGCTCTCCCATTGGCTGTGCTGTGCGCTTCATCAGCCGTTGGCCCATCAACTGCCACTCAAGCGTACTCATGTGCCATTGGCTGGGAGCTCAGTTGTCTCCCCTGCCCACTGCTGGCTTGGCCACTCTTCCCTCTGTGAGAATAAACTGCCAAAATGGCTGTCTCTCCTGACAAAGATGCTTCTCCTGCTTGGCTTCTTTGTGGCTGGCTGGCTACTGAGGTGGGCCAGTGGCTGTCAAGCCATTCTCTTCAACCTTCTGCTGTGTGGCTGACTTTCCCCTAGAGTTGCCAACCTCCAGGTGGACCTGGAGATCCCCCGCTGTTACAATTGATCTCCAGATGACAGAGATTAGTTCCCTTGGAGAAAATGGCTGCTTTGGAGGGTAGATTCTATGGCATTATACCCTGCTGAGTCCTTCCCATCCCCAAACCCGTTCCTCCACAGGATTCATCCCCCAAATCTCCAAGTATTTCCCTACTCAGACCTGGCAACCCTACTTTCCCCTCAGTGGCTGTTGCTAGGCAACCAAGCTTGGTTCTACCAGTAAAAAGGCGGGGGGATTAGGCCCTTTCCAGACCTACTTGGGCCTTTGTGGGGAACTCATTGGGGCCAGTCTTGACTAGGGTTGCCAGCTCCAGGGTGGGAAATTCCTGGAGATTTTGTGGTGGAGTCTGCGAAAGCCAGAGTTTAGGAAGGGGAGAGGTCTCAGCTGAACAGAATGCCATAGAGTCCACTCTTCAAAGCAGTTATTTTCTCCAGGGGAAGACCTAGGTTCTTGCTGTGGAAGCTGAGTGGGTGATTTCAGACCCATCACAGACTTTCAGCCTAACCTACCTCACAGGGTTGTTGTGCAGATCAAAAGGGGGAGAGGAGAATGATGTAAGCTGCTTTGGTCCCCACTGCGGAAAAAGACTGTACTTTTCCTCCTGGGGAACCATTGTTGCCAATCCCTAGGTGAGGGCTGGAGATCACTCAGAATTACAGCTGCTCTCCAGATGGCAGAGATCAGTTCCCCTGGAGAAAGCGGTGGACTCTGTGTCATTATACCCTGCTGAGGTGGCCTCCCTATTACACATCACATCCTCCACTCTCTTACATGATGGATGAGATGCTTTCCCTGATAAAGAAGAACAGACAGACAGCTAAGTCCCTAAGAGTGTGATATAATCATCCACATCCCAATTTAAGCAGAGGTCCTTTGTGAGACAGCCATGGCATCTGTATCAAAGGGACTACTGCTTTTCTGGCCCTTCAGGGTCTCAGTATCCTTCTCCTAAGCCATTTTCCCCACAACAGGGTTACCATAAGTGTAAAGCTTCCAATCAACCTAGGTCAAACCATCAACCGCTCTCTTCAAAAGAGGCAACTTCCAATGTTATACAAATATATGTATTGTAACTAATATGAGCATGGAAGAAGAATTTAGGAAACTGAATGGAATTACATGTAACGGGTGGTACAAGATAACAGGAGTCAGTTAGATTTGGTTACAAATTAGAATTTACGTTTATCCCCCTTGCTGTTTACCTCTAGTGGGATCCAACCAAGCAGCTTTGGGTCTTGGCCAGGATTTGGCCTCCCTAATTGACAAGGGTGCCATCGAGGAGGTTACGGGGTCTCATGCATCTGTGGGTTTTTCTCTCTCAAATGTTCCTAGTAGATAAGAAAGACGGGGGAGTTAGACCCATTTTAGACCTCAAAAAGTAACCATTTTTCATGTTTCTAAGTTCTATGTGGTGTCTATTGCTTCAGTTTTACAATTATTAAAATTTAATTGTTGGTTCATCGTTATTGATTTGAAGGATACCTATTTTCATATTTCAATCCACCCTCAACATCACAAGTTCTACGTTTTTCATGTGGGGAGCACTGTCCTACCCTTTGGTCTAGCCACTGCTCCCAGGGTATCCTCAAAGTGTTTAGCCCTGGGTATTGCTTACCTCCATATGTAGGGTTGCCATATATTGCCTTACCTGGATGATTGGTTACTGGTGGCAGATTCCAAGGACCGATTGTTGAGTCATTGTACTGTTGTCCTGGAAACCTGTCAAGGATTAGGGCTCCTTAGCAACTGGGAAAAATCACAGTTAGTCCCATCTCAGAGAGTACAGTTTATCAAAGCTATACCGGATTCCCTAGTGGGAATGGATTTTCTACCTCCTGAAAGGGTGCAGGCTATCTTTGCCTTGGTGAGACAGTTCAGATGTCACCGATTCCAACTGATTTGGAAAATTCTGTACCTTTTGGGATATATGGCTTCTACCATCGCAGTCCTGCCTATGGCTAGGTTACAGATGCGACCCCTGCAGCTCTGGTTTCTATCTTGTTATAGAGCTGGGGTTCATGCCTTATGGCACAGATTCTCTATTCCCAGACCTGTCATACGTTCTTTACTGTGTTAGTGTTCTATGGATACGTTATTCAAAAAGGCAACAGGGAAGATACAGGAGCAAGCAAGGGGAACAGTCCCCAAGGGAACCCCCCAATAAATCCAGGTCTATGCAATGACTATACTCCAGGCTCCCCTTTAGGGATTGGAGCGCAATAACCAGTGATGAATGGGTGCTCACCATAATAAAGGTTATTTTTCAGAGTTCATATCTGTGCCTGGTTCACTCTCTGCTCCACGGCCTAAAGCCGACCCTTTGTCAGTGCTTCAACAGGAGATATCCCAGCTCCTACAAAAGAGAGCTGTACAAGAAGTTCCAGAGTATGAAAAAACAGGATTTTTTCTGCTGTTATTTCCTAATAAAGAAACAGAGTTTGGGATTTTGGACCTTAGACTTCTAAATCGACACCTGAAGTTCCCCAAGTTTCATATGCTGTCCCTCTCAGGTATCCTGCGTTTCATTGAAAGGGATACATGGTTTTCTGGTCCAGCAGCCTGTTATATGCCCTCTGCTCTTCACTGTGAGATTTCCCCAAAGTCTTTCAACGCTCTCTTTTCCTTCCCAGGTAGGCCTCTCATGAATTTAGAGGAGAGTGACAAGGTCCCATCTTTTCTACATGACACGTTCCACCTGCATCCAAGTATGCTGGCAGAGAATGATGTTCTGCTGTTCTGTGTCACTGATGGGGGATGCTTCTTATGGCACCCTCTCTATGTTCTAGGGATTAAATAAGATGATACATATTTGAAGAATCCCCTTGAGAGCGCACATATGACCTGTGCTCTATCAGTTACTATGATTCCAGACTGAATACCAAATCAGGGTCAAGGTATTGGTACTTACCTTCGAAGCCCTAAACTGTCTGGGACCATCGTATCTGCGTATATGACCCTCAGAGAGCATTACGCTCAACTGATACCAACTTGTTGGTAGTGCCTGGTCCCAAAATGGTCCGGCTGTCCTCAACCTTTTCAGCCCTGGCCCCAGCCTGGTGGAACTCTCTTCCCAGTGAGATCCAGGCCCTGCGGGACTTCGCTCCCCTCTTATTTTCCATTCTCTCCCGGTTAAGTTCCTCCCTAAGGGTGGAACATGGATTGTATGCCAGCCACCCCACTATCTGTAGGATGGATATGTGAATGTGATGCCATCTAATAATAGATTAAATTGCTCAAGAGTACTGGAGCTTAGTTGTATTGTATGTATTTTATTATGTATTGATGTATATTTTTATATATTTTATTTTATGCATTGATGCATATACATATGTTGTACGCTGCCCTGAGTTCTGCTTGCAGGAAATGGAGTGGGATAGAAATCCAGTTATTGTTGATAATAATTATAATTATATAATAAATACTTCTGTACCCATAGAATAGCAAAGCGTAAAGGGCTTTCTGTTGTTCATTTTCGTTGCAGAACAGTAGTAATGCCAATTGCTCATGAGTTTGCTCCAGATGTTGTCCTGGTATCGTCTGGTTTTGATGCTGTGGAAGGTCATCCTGCACCTCTTGGAGGCTATAATGTATCAGCAAAATGTAAGTTTTCTCGGACATTTCAATAATGTCGCAGTTTTGAGTGTATATCTGTGTGATTATTTGATCTTTTTCAGCAAAATGTAAGTTTTCTCAGACATTTCAATAATGTCGCAGTTTTGAGTGTATATCTGCGTGATTATTTGATCTTTTTCAGCAAAATGTAAGTTTTCTCAGACATTTCAATAATGTCGCAGTTTTGAGTGTATATCTGCGTGATTATTTGATCTTTTTCAGTCTGTATTTAACAATCACTCAATTAAAAACTTTTCCTCTCCAGTTGGTTTTTCGGGTATTTTCAGTAAAAACAGCAACAACAGTGTACTGTAATTGGAGTACAGTAGAACAGACATCCAAGTTGTATACTGCATTCAGGTTTCTGTCTGTACTGAGTTGTTTAAATGTCAGTTCCTGCCACCTCTTCAAACTTGCAGCAGTTTAGAAAAACAGTATAAAATGGAGATTAAGAAGCCAAATAATAGTAGTAATAATAATAACAACTGAGCCAGTATGTTACAGTGGTTAGAATATCAGAGTAGATATCTGGGAGACCCAGGTTCAAATCCCCCCTCTGCTGTGGAAGCTTGCTGGGTGACCTTGGGCCAGTCATAGGTCAGTCTAACCTACCTTGCAGGATAGTTGTGAAGATAAAATGGAGTGGGGGAAGAAAGTTGTAAGCCACTTTGGATCCTCTTTTGGGAGAAAAATGGAGTATAAATGAAGTAAATTAATAAAGACAGCTCAGAATAAAACATAAATAAAGTACAAAATGCAATCAATACAGAATTAATATTCAGAGACCAATCCAATCTGGTCGGGTTTGCATATTGTACTCCAAGCTAAAAGGGGAGGGGATGGCCATGCCTCCTAAGACGATTCACTGTACACCCCTAGAGGGTAACAGGCAAGGCCTGTTCTGGATAATCTGAAGTCTTTTCCAGATGTGCTTTGGAGTAGATGTCACCTCCTGTGCCGATTTTGGGGCTGAGGTAGGGATCATGTAATGAGTCACAGTCTGAGATATATACCAGCATCAACTTGAGAGCTTCTTGACAGTTAAAAACAGCCCTTAGAACTGGGCCTGGGCCCACAAACTGATTGGACACCAGTGTAGCTTTTTCAATAATGGTGGAGTTATCCTTTCATCTTTCACACATTTGGGAGACTGCATTCTGCAGCAGCTTGTTACAGTGGCTTGTTCTTGAAAATTACCATAGCATGCCCATGATGCTGAGTTTTCTCACGTGCAGCTAGCATACTTGATATAAGTATCAAAGGTACACGGAGCTATGGCTGCCAGCTGTTTTTCTGAGACAAAGGACTTGGCCCAGCACATCTCAAAGTTGTATATCTGCTTCAAAAGAGAATATCTCCATCAGTCTAGCCAAGGCATGCCCAAAAGGTTATATGTAGACTTTGATAATGAACAAAGTATTTTGCTTTGTGGAATTTGTCGGGGAATAAAAGTTGGGATTCAGGGTAAAAGCACTGTGATGGATGTGATGAGAACCCAGGCTTTGGGGGTTTTCTTGAGAGGATGGAGCTGTAAAAGGCTTCATTCCAAACACAAAATTGGGTTGGACCCAACGACTACCTTACACTAAGTATGATAAAGACAGACTTTGTTTGGTATAGTGGTTGAACTGTCAGACTGAGATCTGGGAGAACCCGTTTCGAACCCCCCTCTGACATGCAAGTCTGTTGGGATGATTTTGAGTCTGTCACAGACGTTGAGCCTAACGTGCCTTCCGGGCTTACTGTTGTGAAGATAAAATGGAAGAACGGAGAACAGCGTTATAAGCTGCTTTAGATTTCCATTGGGGGAAAAGCAGGGTATAAATAAAAATAAATAAATCACATCTTTATAAATAAATAAATGGAGGGAAACTCTGATGCAGGGCATCTTTCATTGTTGGATCCAACCCATTAACACAGAACATCTTAAATATTTTGTGCTCCAAGATATCATACAGATCTTTTTATTTTCCTGACTTTTGAAAAGAGTTTGATTCTGCTACTATGTGTCCTTTACT